TGAACTATTTCATAGCAGCAGCAGTATCTGATTTGTCACTAGCCTGGGGTGCCCTGCAGTATTTTGCATGTGAAAGGCTGGATCCATGCTTCTATTCATCTACTTTGCTCCCTCCAGTGACACTGTATATACAGGGGCGAGGGCAGGATTATAAAGTGACTCCAGACTAAATATTGTATCCCTGAAGTCTGTTCACCAGGCTCATTTCTTTCAGATTCAAACCATTCTCCTTTAAGTAATTCTTTAACTAACACCTGTTATAGGCATGGAGCTCATGGGCTATTCCCACTATCTGAGCAATTTAAGACCATAATGTTTATTAGTTTCAAGAAAAATTTAGACAATATGACAAAAATTAACCAAATCCAAACCTATCAGCCTCCTGTGATTTTGATCTGAAACTGCTCAGCTGTATTTTCCCAAGGAAAATTCCAAACTCTCTACAAGAAGCTTTCTCCAACAATTATACCAGCCTCTTACTGAGTTGCTTTTGTGTAGAAGCTGACCTCTCTGATCTGTTCTATTTCTCCAGTGCCTGATTGAAACCCTACAGAAAAGGGGAAAGCAAGCAGGGTACTTAGTTGGATGAGATAAGCCTTTGCTAGATGAGACCACTGCAGAGCTCATGGGTGATATCAGAGGCCAAGTCTTTTAAAACAGGTCACCTCTTGCCCTGTATAGCTGCTCCAAGTGCATTAACATTATCCAGTGGGAGAAGAAAGGCAGATGAATTTTGATCTTATTCTAAAACGACCACAAAGCTTTCCCCAGCATGGACATTCCGTTTGCACTACAGTGGGGATTCATGGGCAGGGTGATCAGCACCGCCCAGTAGTTGTGACCGCAGCTATAACCAACCTCCTTCCACTTGGTTCTTTTCTGACTTCGTGTAACGACACCTTTGGGGAGCTCAGCTTATTATATCAGCTTGGCTAATAAAGATTCAAAAGAGCTCTGCTAACAAGAGTGTTTGGGAGACAAATTACCTGGTGTTTCTTCCACTTATTTCAGCAATATAGTTAGACCAAATCTTGCAGATTTCCCTGCAAGTGGGTGATATTTTTGCCTTGGGTAAAGGCTAAAACTTATGGGTCTAATGCTGAAAGGGGGTCTGTGCAGGTAGGTGGGCTTACAGAAGTGTCTCTCCTTAAAAAAACAAGGCTTTGTTTCAGAAAGTCTGTGTACCTATCCGGACTGAAGGAAATATCCTTTAGACTGAACCTTTCATTTTTTTTTTTTTTTTTTCCTGAGGACACTGACTAAAGCCTGAAACCCTGTTTGTTTTGCCAGGTGTTACTCCACTCTGCAAGAGGTAAGGATCACACTAGGCTCAGACATTATTCACCCAGCATAAGAGAAAGTCCTCTGCTGATTTAATTTCAGCACAAGTGTAAAAAAACCCTCTAAACAAAGCTCCAATCTTGTTTTTGCATACCTCCACTTTCCAGTACTTGGGTATGGACAAATCCATTATCAGCTCTTCCTACGGTTTCTATTACACATCTTTGAAACAAAACCACAAAAATTGTCTAGAAATTACTTGAGTAATTAGATCCCTGTTAGGTAATTAGAGCAGATGAGAATAAGTTTAACTGGAAAAAAACATATGTTGAGATTTGGAATACAACATAGCTGTATTGTGTTCTGTGAACAATGTTACATTCTGTGAGGGAGAGAAATGGAGCATCATTAAAAAGACTTCTTCCCTTCCAGCCCCAAAAAGAGAGCAAACCTGTAGGGAGAAGTTATCTACTGAGAACTAGGGTTTTGTTTAATATAAAAGAGAAATAGCTGATCATTTGAATTCACATTCTCTGTGATATAATTGCCTAGTTATAAACATGATAAATGAATTTCTCATACTGTATAACTAAGATTTTTGTGAACAGAATCCTGCCTGCATAGTAGTCAATGGGAACTTGAGGATACTGACAAACAAGGGATTTCATCCTGTCCTAGGAATCAGGTGGTATCATAGTCTGCTATTTGTGATTTATTTTCTGAATAATTCCTGACCCTTCTCAAGAGGAATTTATTCTCTAAGAGTTCAGTAAAGAAATTCAGCTTATAATTGTTGATGAATTTGAGAGTGGGAGATGCATGGCTTTCTGTGGATAGAAATGTCTGATTTGCAGTAGGTAACTGTTGATGTTCTTTTTTACCTTGTACATTCTATTCTCATCATAAAATCTGTTCTCACAGAGGTTTTCTACATGATCTCTTGATGCCAGTGAGAGCATTAATTCCTACTTCCATTGACTCTCACAAGAATACTTTCTTGGTGAGACATACTTTCATTAGTTTATTTAGATTGCCTTCAAAACATTGTAAGTTACACTGGAAAAGCACTATTTATGCAAGGAAGAATGTTTACACAATTATTAATGTAATCCTTCAGTTAGACCAAGATGGCTTTAAGTATTTCCCCAGGCAGAGAACTCCTGACTGAGCTCCAGCCTGCACTGCACTCCAGCTCTGCTCTGTCATCACTAAATTACCCCTTTTACTGCTGCTACAACCCCACTCTTCCTGTCTCGTTGCTACCTCAGCTACACACAGCTACTATATCTTCCTTCCATGTCCTCTTTTCATTTCATCTTTTCCTCTAGACAAAGAATTTTTGTTTATTTTCTGCTCTCTGCATCAGTCTATGTCATTCATAGGGGTCTAGGCTTCCCTTGTTCCCATTTCTTGCCACCTGTCCTTAAAAATCTATATCTCCTCTGGATCTTGACCATTGTATATCTGTCAAAAATACGCATGTGGTGCTTTTTCTGTCCTCAAGAATGCATGCCACAATGTACCACTGACCAAACTGCATCTCCAGCCAGCTCTACATTTCTCTTCATCTCACTTGAAACACTTCATGGCTGCTGCCTCAAGTTTGTATCTTTCATTCCTTTAGGTTAATTTCTGATCTCTCTTTACTGATTTGAAAAAATGTGTGTGTGGTGGGGGTATATGTGATTTTGTAAGTTGCTCTTAAATGTCCGTGTTGTCTGGTGCTTTTCATTGGCTCTATCTGCCCCGTGGATCTGCATGATTTCTCTAACTCCATATAGGACCAGTTCTTTTTCCCAAAGTTGCCTGTCATATAAGGGCTGCTGGGTGAAAGGAAAGGCTGGAAACTTTCCAGTTCTGGTAGTTTTAATGTCACATCACTTAGAACTCTAAACGTGCAAGCCCAGAGGGTTACAGCTGTGCACATTCTCAGGATTAAGACCTGAAACCCGACAAAGCTGCTGATCACAGTTTTTGTTCCTTATGCAAGTCTCAGCTTCAGTTTACAAAATATATTTTTAATCTGGACAAATTTAGAGTTTTGGGAAGGAATGGGATGTAACTTACTTTTCTTTGTTTTCTTCTGAAAGTTCCGGATTTATTCAAATTTCAGCCTCCAAATTAAATCCAGGATCCTGAGCTAAAAAAAAAAAAATGCCATCCAGTGTTGACTCATTAAAGTCTGGTTCTGTTTGGTGTACAACCAATAAGAAAGATTACAAGCACATAAATAATCCCCCATTTGGCCATCCTGACTTCATACCCCAAAGTGTTTTATAGAGTTGAATAGACACTGCTATACTGAAATAGGCACTGCTATGCTTATTTACAGGTAAGGAAGTCAAGGAGTTTAGTGACCTTACCGAAGTTCACACAAATGTCAATGGCAGGAAACTGGCCTCCTGATTGTCCTGTCTAATTCTGTATCTGTGGGATCATGCTTTAGTAATCAGCACTGTTTTCAACTACACTTTTTAACCTTGGGTATGAGGGATTTGAATGCCTTTCAGATAGAGGTAATGGGAAATACATGCATTGAAAAATCCAGTAAGCCAATTAATATTTGCAAGATGCACAGATACAATGGCAAAGAAAGCAATAGAAAATGTGATCCAGCTGCCTAGACTGGCTTGTACCCTACAGCACACCACAAGCAGCCAATATCTAGAAAATGAGTCACATAAAGTGATACAGCCTGGATCTTATTCTTCCCTTGTACCTACATTTACAGATTTGCCACACCTTAGTGAAAATTACACACTGATATCTGCAAGTGGAAAATTTTAGAAGGGGCGTTGGTGCAGTGAGAGATTGATGTCGCTGTTTTTAATGGCATTTTATTTTAGAGCTCCAAACTAGAGTGCATCAAAGATTCTGTGTGTTATTCATCAAGTATTTGTGAAATCATTGGCAGAAGACAGACATTGTCTGGCCCTCAACTGTATCAAGACAGCAGTAGCAAAAGAATTTAGCCCATGCAAAGACTGGTTATATACTGTGGTTAGGAGGATCCTTGAGCCTCCTCTGCTTCATACAATTTCACTTAGTTGTTCATGCAGATTCTCAGAGATGCTTATTTTATAAGAAATCTCAAGTTTTTTGCCAATTCTGCCATGCATATAGTCCAAAGCAAATTAAGACAATAAAAGTAAGAAATTCCAGGAAAAATTTTAGTCTAGTAGTGTAATGAAATTTCTAAGGTGAAAGATTACTCGTTGTTAAGCTTTGTTTTGTTAATTTTGCGTGTTACTTCAAGGTTCTCTTCAGTACCAGTATTGTTATATTGATAACCTAAGTGAGGTTATTTTGATTTGAGTGTGTAGAGCCCTTTGTGAGTTTGCTGCATGACATTTGGCAAGCAAAGCCTTTTCTGACTGTAAAAGAAAGTGCAGTCCCTAGGCAAAGCAATCCTGTATCCTGACAGCCCCACTTGTGAGTGCAGAGCCCTGCTGCCAGCCTGGACAGAGGACCTGCTGCTGAAGGCACTCCATTGCTTGCTGTTATTCACAGATGAAAGATGGGAGTTAAGTGCTTCAGATGAAGTTCTTATGTCTAAATGCTAATGAAGGCCTCTGGTTTTCTGAGACATACAAAAGAGAAAGAAAAGCTGTAAATCAGAAGGTTAATTTCTTATTTACAACAGTGCTGTAGGGTTGCAAGTGTTAGCACCGAGAAACACTTCTGTACTAACTTTTCTTTTTCCATATCTTTTTCTGTAGAAAAAGATGAGAAGAGAACAAGCATCTCACAGGCAGAGGTAAGTGAATTTTATTTTTCTTTTAAACATATTTATTGTTAAAATAGGTCTACTGTTAAAAGCTTTTTGAAACTCATCCTGATTCATCCTGGTTAATATTTTTGTTTCCACTGCCATGCCATCCTCAGTAACATGGCCCTATTTTTGCGTGTGTCAGGTCTGCTGGCTATCCTTCTCCCTGTGGCTTGGAACTGGGAGAGGCAAGCTTCCCCTCTGCCTTCCTACCATGCCCTAGCAAAGCATAACAACTCTGGCCCAAGGTGCCCCTGCCAGCTAATCCTGTCCAAGCTTTGCTTTGGATCTGCAGGTCGCTGCTGGTCTATAAAAGCATTGCAAACTCCTCCCTACTCTCTCCATCATTTGCCAAGCCTACAGCAGGCAGTGCAGTGATGTTGTTTGCACAAGAGTTAAAAGTGGGCTCCTCCAATCTTGTTTTCTAATCTCCCCTTGCATAGTTCCTGCAAATCCCTGATCTCCTTCTCCTTCACCCATTGCCCAGGGCAGCAGGCAGCATTTTAAATAGCAGCAGGAGGTATTGATTGGTTCAAATTTGGACTCAAATACAGACTTGTAAAGACTGAAGTGAGGATCAACAACCTATTCCATAGTGTGTATAAATAACTTTCTCTTTCCAAAGATGACAATGTTTTATTTATAAATGTTATCATTCCATCCACTGTGATAAGGTAAGGTAATAGTATTGGCCATACTTCTGTGAAAGTGTTTCTGTTAAGAGCTGTCTCAAATGTTCCATAAAGAAATAGATATGATTACAATTCACAATCTATATAAAAGGCAATTACAGAAAATATTTGGGAAAAGACAACATTGTTATGATCAAATATAAATAGAAATTGATTAGATGAGAAAAAAAAAAGCTTGCCTATACACAGTTTTCCTTAAGCTTTTCATTAGGAGTGTGGTATGGTGTTTATGTCTTCCAAAGCTAGCTATGGGTGTGACCTTATGTAGCTTTATTGTCCTTTAAATGTCAACGTATTTCATATTGGTATAATATGAACACCAATTTAGCTCCTTTCATTTTACAAAAGCTGCTCTGCTTTAGCACTGAATGTATTCATTAGTTTTTGCTAACTAAACATTGGTAAAATTACACTATTACTCTATGTGTAATTTTGCTACCATTATTTTGGAATACTTTATCTTTTGTGCATAGATGCAATTTCAGGGCCATAAAAAGTTTAACTGTATCTAAATCTAACACTCAAATCAGTCTTAGTTAAAGACTGAATGATTGGCTGCTGAAATTATTATCTTAAGTGTAATAGAACACATTGAAAAAGTGAAGGGAGAGAGATTTTCCACTTATTTATGTTAAAATGTATTTATTAATAATTTCAGTTCTACCTTACTTATATAAGTTATACTTAAATGGAATATTGGTTAATGTAAATCTTGCAGCTATTTTAATGTATGTAAACATTTATTTGCCTTATGAGAATCGGTTACACAGACTGTTAAAAGCACAGACTATCCAAATCTTATGTTTAACAATATTTTTTTAGGGTGAAGAGTAGTTTTCAGTAGTATTGGGTCTGTCTTGCCTGAAAGTCATAAACTCCTCAGATGATGTGTGCACCCTCTGAAAGCAGCTGTGGAGCAAGACCCAGAACAGAAAGCTCTCCCTCTGTCCGTCTCTTACCACCTCTCTGTTTTTTTGTCCCTCCCCAGTCCCAGAGCGCCTCTCCCAAGCAGAGGAAGCAGAGCGTCTTCACCCCTCCTGCCCTCAAAGGTACTGTGTGGGTCCTGTCCCTGCCCCTTGTGCCATGGCTTGGTGTCCCCTCAGGCAGAGGAAACACCAGGGTGTGAGTGGTGGCTCTGCCCACGAGCAGCACAACCGTGGGAGGCTCGTGCTCAGCCATCGCTGCCTTCACACTTTGGAGTCACTGTTTGGCATTGACCATCTGCCTGATGCTGACCATTTATTTATCCTCAGCACAGAATCTTCCTGCAGTGGTGACTTTATTTGTTAAAAAAAAAAAAAAAAAAAAAAAAAAAGTTTTGAGACTTCTATTAGTTTGCTATAACAGATAGTTCAATGCCAAACTTTGAAGAGAGCTTCTTGAATATGTAAAATCTATTAGTGCTGGCCCCATAAAGTTCTCTGTTTCTTATTTAAACCACTCCACCATATTTTGTCTCCCTTTCCAGGCAGCTGTGAAAAGGATAATAGCCAAAACTGTGGGATATGTATCTGATCATAGGAAGTGTGAAGCCTTTCTTGGGAATATGAGATACAATGAGAAATCTTGGTAAATGTTTCAAGGGCTAACATGCTTTTAGAAATACAAAAACAGCAGGATTATCAGCTGGGATCAGAGCAACTACATTTAGGCCTTGCTTCTTAAGTAACTGAACAGAGTTTGACTTGATGGTGCTTGCATTGAAGTGAATCTGTAGTGATTCACTAGCACTTCCAACTGACACTTGTCAAGAAGGATTATTTTCAGAGTGCAAACCAGAGAGTATTCTGCCAAGTGTCTCTTGATAATGAATACATAAATTTGCCTTTGTCTGCTTAACATAATTTATTACCTGGCACAAGAGGTAGGATATCTGATTTGTTGTGTGGAATACTGCCACTGTTATTAGGTGATTTACCATAACAGCCTATCATACGGTTCTATGTATCTCATTTTGTAGCTTCAGTTCTCTAGTACTTGTCTTTCCCACTGTTAAAACATCGCTCAGCTGTCGCAAAAGACTTACTATCTATTTGTCAAAATGGGCTAAAGTTTGTGTACTGAATATTAGAAATAACCTTATTAGAGTCATTTACAATAATTTTTGTGGAAGGAGAATGCTCTGCAGGGATAAAAATAATACCTATTTATCTCACTGCTGTATTATTTTCCTTTACAAGCCTAAACTAAATACTGTGCAAATGAAGAGCTATGTAAAATTGGTCCTTGTATCTTCACTCAAGGACTGCAGCCAATGCAGAGTTACCTGTAACGCTCTGCTGAGACCCAGGGAAGTGCCTGGCATAATTGTTTCTGCATCAACTTAATTCTCAGGGAACAGTACAAAAGTAGGAGAGCACGTGATTCAAAATAGATCATAGCTAACCTGAAATGTCTTGTCAACTGCACAAAGCAGAGCACAGAATGCCTCTGAGGCTGTTATTAATGGAAGGTGGGATAGACTGTAATCCAGTACCTTACAGTCAAAGCTGGAGATAATAAAGGTAGTGAACAAGAGGGACAAATATTTTCATTTGTTAACTTCTCTGGCATTTTAGTAGTTTTTAGCTACTGTTAACTCAAGTTCCCAGAAACAGGCCAACCTCACAGGCAGTTGCTGAGCCTGGAAGCCGAGACAGCAGCTGTGTGTGGAGAGCTGTGGGAGAGATGAGGGGCCATGGCAGGATCTTCTCTATGACTGCAGCAGAAAGGGGTCAAGAGAAACTGCAGGCAGAGTTGTGCTTCAGCCTGACTCCAAATCTCCTAGTAATTTCTTCTTTGAACTGAAAGTATTTTTGCTGCAGTTTTTGTAAGTTTCTTTAAACAGTTACAATACTGGGTGAGAGAAAGGTTACTGGTTTCTGAATTGACAGCTAAGCTGAAGAGAGAAAGTAAATGAACCTGCATGTTGTGGTTGTAGGAACCTACATAAAATGGGAAATTGTAAACATGCTTGAAAAGAGCAGAAACAACATCAGATAATAGTGATGACGAGTTAAAATACCAGAACTATGGTACATGTTACACGAAATATGCAAATACATGAAAATATATGCAATAAATGCAAATACAGTACTGCTGAGGTTCTACATGTCATGGTAAATATACGAAGATCAGCTTCTTAGTTAAATTGCCCAGAGAAGGGGTTCACATTGCCCAGAGAAGTTTTGAATGCCCCATCCCTGGAATTGTCGAAGGCCAGGTTAGATAGGACTTTAAGCAACTTGGTCTAGTGGGTGGCATTCCTGTCTATGGCAGGAAGGTTGGAATGAGATGGTCTTTAGTGTCTCTTACAACCCAAACCATTTGATGATGCTGTGATTCTATGATATGATATACATATGGGCATATTTTTCTTCTCTGCCATAGCAGTTACTAAACTAAAATTCAGTGTTATGGTCTGTTTAAGGTAATCCCCAAATATTTCAGTCCCATCATTACAGCAGCTTGCTCTAGCTCAAGGCTGGCCTGTGGCTGCTGCAGCAAGCTGTAGCAAACCAGCATGTCTGCAGAGCCTGTGTCATGTTATGGTGCAGCAGGCAGGTTCTTATTACTAGATATCTTTGTGTGCTTTGGCTCCTGCTTTTATTTTCCTAAATGGAAATGCACCAGAGTTCCTACAGACAGAATAAATACCTGACTCATCTCAGAGCATTGTTCTTTTTACTGGAATACAGTGTGCTGGAAAAATCAATGTGAGAACTATTGATTTAAGTGGTGATCTGGAGAGGGACTGAGCCAGCCAACCAGATAACAGCTCAGTATGGTGTGCCTCTTAGTATTATATTACCAAACCTAATGGATGTCAAAGAGGTTTTCTATTTTGCTTCCATAGATATTCCTTCTTCTAACCTGCCACACTAGTGTTTGTTAATTCCATGCTCTTATGTAGCACGCAATGTTAGATCAAGTCAGTATCTGAAGACTACACCAAACTAATCCATCATATTTTCTGTATGTTGTGATTTACATCCTCACAGTTTTTTCTAGGTATAGCAGCACTCTTAACTGAGGATTCATCATTTCTATCTCCCTTGTTTGCATAACTTTTTACTTCTGTTACTCAGGATTTATGCCTAAGCTTCCAGTTCTCTCATGTTTTAAGCTCTCAATCTTCATGAGCAGAGATTGGCTTGAACCTCCCTATGAAAAGTACCATAAAAGCATCACCATGGCTGGGCTTTGCGAACGAAGATTTGAGAAGGGCTCTACCCACGCTTGCTACAAGCATGCTGATGGCTAGAAAGGTCAGTGCGAGATAGACAAGTCCGGTTGCAGAAGGCACAGCAGAAAGACTCCCCAGGTGACAGCGACAAGATGCGTCTTGTCACCATAAAAGCAATCAGACAAATATTTCGCAATTTGAATAGTCACCAGTATTACCTGGGGCCATCTTTCCCAGTCAGTTCTCATTGTATAAGGCCTTTTTCTCCTCTTTACTAATCTGCTTCTTGTTCTGTATGACAAAACCAAGAATCCTTTGGTCCTTTTCCTCTGTACCAAAATAGATGTCCAACTGTTTTAGTTCAAAGATCTATCCATCCATCCATGCACAAACAGCATCTTTAGAGATGTCTTCATTATTCTGCTTGGTGGGTTAGAGTAGCCCCTGGAAGTCTTGCTGGAACCTCACCCTTTTCCCCTCACACTTGCCAGAGAAGTCTATAGTGGGATAATAAACCTCACAGATAGGGAGGAACCAGGTGAAGGCAGCTTAGACTTATCCCAGGTAATGGTGCTTCCTTGATGTCTCATTACCACTTGAAAATTAAGAGTATATTTGAGTCTCAGAGCTGCAACTGCAGCTTTCCATCCCAAGACATACTTTGTGCCGAGGCAGGTTTCCTTTTACCTAGGTACTCATGTTTTGTTTGGTATCTCAGCTCATCCTTGCAAGGAAATGCAGACAGCAGTGACAGGAAGAAAGCCTTACAAAGACAAATGGAAGACAGCCTGAGCTGTACCTGCATTACTCCCTAGAGTTCCCTCTACATTATCTACCAGCTATTGCTATTAATACTGGTGGCTATTTAAGTATTATCAAGGTCTCCCCCTGTGAAGGAAGTACACATTCCCAAGAGGTTTGAGGATTTCATTAACAGCAAGTGTACTGGTGTGGATGTGCTAGAGGTCAGGGAAATAGGAAAGCTTCACTGATCTTAGTTCACCCTGCAAGAAGCTGTTTAGATCAGATCAAGATCCTACCAATTTCAGCAGGTTTTAAAGAAAGTTCTTGTTGCTGTCTGTGTTCACTGGGCCACTTCTGTGATGAGCAGCCACCAAATCATAATTAAAGTCTTTCCTCACAGAAGTGAAATGTATGTTTGACTGTTTTCCCTCTCAGCCTTTTGGGAAATACATGTTTTAAATTCCCCTCTTAATATATTTTTCTTTGCATAGAAACAAAGACTTTTTCTTGAGATAGGCCCCAGTTACAAGATTTGAAATGGGATTAAATCTGATTTGTTATAAATCTAAGGAACATTCAAAGACATCATTTTGGTTTGAGTCATTAAAACAGCCAGAACTCACTGGCTGTTCCCAAAGTGTTCAGACCCAGGGATTTGATACATGCATAATTCTAGTATTTACAATGATGGTTGATATTAAATGAGCTCTTTCTAGCTTCTGCCATGAATTTCAGATGCTTGGGTTGTTTAGCGCCTGCTTGTTCTTCTCTCCAAAGGAAACAACATGCAGAATAAATGATTAAAATCATGATGTCCCTCCTGAAATATGTAATTTATTAGAAGCAATTAGTACAGTATGTGGCCCTCATCCAAATTTGTAACCCCTTAGGCCAGCTTGATGATGTCTGATGCATCTCATTACTTTGTGACTGAAGATTAACAACGAACATGGGTAGAGTCTGGAGACATGAAGGATTATTGTTAGTATGGTAAGCACTGAGTTTGGAGCCCACGAGAATCATTGTGGAACAAAAATCTCAGGCTAGATTTACTTCAAGTGGCAGAGGAATGAAGTTTTTAAGTCTTTAGTGGTGACTACAGAAACTTGTATCATTGTATGGGCTGCCTTCTTACATGGC